CTTGTCTCAGCCCCCGGGTCAGGAAGCAGGGACTGACACTGCCCATGTTGGTGCTCTTAGGCTCCTTCTCCCTCCAGTAGCACACGTCAATGCGCAGGGGCTGCAGTCACTGCATTAGCTCTGGCTGTGTCTGCACCACCCCACCCTGCCACTGACCCTTACCTGCAGCGGCAGGCGGAGACCCAGGGTTTCCATGAGGGGACCTGCCCAGGCTCCGGCCGTGATGATGAGCCGGGGGGCTTGGTACACCCCACCTGTGGTGGTGACAGTGACCATGGCCCCAGGTTCAATGCGCAGCACCTTCTCCCCATCCCGCACAGTGCCCCCATGTCGGCGAAAGACCTCCTGAGTGGGAATGGTAACAGGAGGTGGCTGCAGGGATGGAGCCAAGGGACCCCCAGCCCAGCCCAGCTCAGCCCAGCCCATCCTGTCCCGCATATCCCATCCCATCCCCTTGGCAGCACTCACCTGCACTGCCCTCAGTGCCCGGTCAGCGAAGAGCACCCCGGCAGTGCTGTCCAACACGGCCACCTCGCCAGCATGGAGCCGGAAGCCAGGGAAGCGCCGGGCCAGCGCCGCGGCATCGAGGACTTGCCTGTCACCCAGGCTGCGCCGACAGGCCTCCAGCTCCTGGTCTCCCGCCGGCCCCAGCACCAGCAGTCCCGTCTGCCTGCACCCCACCAGTCAAGTCAGCTCTCACTACTCCCCCTTCCTGTGCAGACCCCCTGCTTGCTTTGCCCCTGGAGGAAACTGAGGCATGGTGGCACCAGCGATGCTTGGGACATGCTGGGGCACTCCATGGTGGGAAACTGGGAGATATGGGCTGGGTGCATGGGGTGATGTGTGAGGAGGGTCTGGGTGCCGGCATCGTGCTTCCCCCCTCAAATACAGCGAGCGCCATGAGCCCTGACCCCGGCACCGGAGGATCGTTTGGAAGCTCATTTCCTTAATTACATTATCTTTATGGAGCCCCATAAATCACCCACAGCCAGCAGCTGCCTGCCAGGACGGCCACATGCCACCCAGTGGCCACAGACCCCAGTCCAGCAGGGAGGGGATGGTGCCCAGTGGGGGCTGCGTCCCCGTCCCTGTCACCTGTAGAGGCGGGTGCCGACCTCAGCCTCCAGCTGCTGCCAGAGGCGGAAGCTCTCGGGCATCATGCGGGAGTAGTGCTCCTGGGGGTAGACGCTGCGGATGATGCGGCTCTGCCCATGCGAGCTGCCCCTCGAGTGGGGCAGGATGAACTGTGGGGGAGAGGGGACATGGGGGTGACTACAGACACTACCCCACCTCCAACCCCACCATCCCCACGTGCACCGGTGCTGTGCTGCAGTGGGAAATTGGGACACAGACTGTCCTGTCATCCACAGCACCAGGAAACAGCAGGAGATGAGAGTGTTGGCAGTGGGGACATGGGGGTTCTGGCGCTGGGGGCTGTGGTGCCTGCAGCAGCTCCACTCTGTACCGTCGCAGAGGGCAGCCAGAGGGCAGCCAGCTCTGCAGGCAGCTGCCCCAGCCTGTGGGGACTGGGGACGTGGCAGAATGGGGTCACCTGTACCTGCTCCAGCAGCAGAGTGTCCCTGTGGCGCTGGGCCAGGTGGTAGGCAGTGAAAGAGCCCTGGATGCCGGCCCCGATGACGATGGCATCGTAGGTGGCCTTCTGGGGCTGGCTTGGGGCAGCCATGTCCTTCCTTGTCCTCGTCCCTATTCCTGTCCTGTCCAGCAACCGGGAGTTGATCCAAGGGGAGGAACAGGGCAGAGTCCAGCCAAGCACTCCAAGGGGAGGAACGGGGCAGAGTCCAGCCAAGCCGAGCATGTGGTGGAGCCATGGCAACCCTCCAGCCCTATGGGTTCCCAGGGCCCAAATCCTTCCTACCCCTTGGGGCCAGCCAGACAGAAGCATCCCCGTTCCCCCACCAACACCAGCATCTGGTCCCACCACGGCAGGGAGATCATGTGATCAGAGCAAGTGGGTGAGATAAATGTGATAGAAAATTCCTTCTAATAAATCCCCCTTTCCACTGGTCACTGCTGGCTCTGGCTGCAGTGGAATGTGGGCCTTGGTAACACTCCCGTTTCAGTGCCAATGGGAAACCCCCCACTTGCTTCCAGGCAAACAGGTTTTTTTTCCCCCAGCACAATTTATTACAGCCGTAAACCATTTTGTTGCCATTTTTGTTGGTTTTTTGTTTTTGTTTTTTTTTAACAGGAGATAAGGGTGATTTAGGGCTCACCAGAGCTGGAGGGAAGTGGCATAGAGCCCCATGTCCCACTGGCAGTGGTGGATTTTGCAAGTCTGCAAAATTGTAGGGTCTGATTTGGGGTTTGGGGACATTCAGTGATGCCTCAGGGTGGGGGATAATGCAGGCAGGGGCTGCCAGCTTTGTCCGCTGCTGACACTGCCCCGTGCTGCCTGACAGCTAATTAGAGGAATTAATTTACTCTGGCTTCTGTGGTGTAAAAGACATTATTTACTGGTTAATCGTCGTTATTACAAAACGTTAAATATCATTATTTATTTTGCCACTCGCCTCTGGTGATGAATGAACATTTGGAAAGTGCTGGATGCCCCCACCAGGTTATGGGGACACCCAGGCATCATCAAAGGCAGAACTGGCAGCTCACAGAGATGGGGAGGTGAGAGGAGGAGGATGGGGAGCACGGGCAAGGGCTGGGGTCCCCCCCAGGCCCCTCATCTGCCCTGTTGCCTACAACCACTGCTGCAATGAGCGTGTCCCAGTCTCAGCACCACCGCAGTGCCCGGGGCTCTGCATCGCGCTGGGCACTGTTAAATCAGCACATCCTCGCTCGCCTTTGATGTTACAAATAATTCACCAATTTCCCAAGGTTTCAGCTCACTTTATTCGCTTTGAATAGCCCCTCTACCTGCTCTTGCTTTTTTGCTGGAAAGATGAGGAATAATTAATTATCCGTGAAACGTTAAATGGTAAAAATTAACTCCTCTCCCGTTAGTGGTGTGTTAATAGAACGGATGGAAAAGCCTCGTTCATGATGCTACAGAGCTGGGAAGACCATGGATGTGGTGCTGACGACCATCCCCAGGGCTCTGTGGGACCCCTCAAGCCATTGCTTTCATTCCATGGGTGACCCAAGCAGAGCTGATCTGAGGCATCAGGGAAACCTGTGCCCCCAGACCCCAAAAAACAGCTGCATGACCTCGTCTTGCCTGAGTTTTTGTGGTGCCCCCCCAGCCCTGTGCCAGGGCCTCCATCGTCCCTGCCATGTCCTCTTCACCTGTGTTTATATTAACTGGAAGCAATGCTCGTGGCAGCAAGAAATCCATTTCCCTAAGCAGCTGGTGTGGGTCAGGAGAGCTCAATAAAAATGAAATATTCCCTGTGTGGGCTGCGTGGATGGATGCGAAAACTCGAGACTGACAACGGCATGGGGAGGGGGAGATGGGGGTTTGGGGAACTACCACAGGCTGCAGGAGCCACCTGATCCATGTGGAACTGGGGAAATGTGGAATGAGGAACTTTGGCAAAGGTCAGGATGTGGCTTGATAGGTGCTGGACTCTGCACCCACTGCACCCGTTGCGCCTGGTGTATCCTGGGATGGCAGCTGAAGCTTCCCAAAGTCCATCATCCAGCTGTGCTGGCCTTATACTCTGTCAAGCACAAATCAGCACTTAAAAAAGAATTAGGGAGCAATATCATTCCCCAAGGAGCTGAGGGAACCATGGCATCCTTCCTACCTGGCCACAGCATGCTGGCTCCAGGCATGTTTGGCCCCATTTTCGGCCCTATTTTCCTCCCCAGTCCTCGCCATTCCTGATGCTTTGACAGCACCTGCAAAGAATTGTTTGGTTTTTGTCAAAACCAACAGCCTCTGAAGGACGCCCCTCATTAGCAGTCCAGGTACGTGCCTGGGGAAGCATCGGGTGGATTAAAATTATTTGAATATCATAATATTAGAAACTTCAATTTGGCCTCAAAATGCTCGTCTTCCGAGCCCTACCAGGGCTTTGCTGCATTAAACATTAATGGAGCTACCGGCGGATCAAAGTTTTGGGTTTAGAGCTGAAAGTGCTTTGTGGGAGAGCCAGCAGCACCCCTGGGATGAGAAGGATCCTGGCATCACTGCCAGCTCCATTCCCACTGCAGCTGTGGGGCTGGCGGCACACAGCCCATGCCATGGGCCTGGCCACTGCCCTTTCCTCCCCATACCGATCTGTGTGGCACGTGGTTTGCCGTTCTCCGTGACAGGAATGATGTGTGTCAGCAAAGCAGGACCTGGGATTAAAAATAAACCCCCACCGGCGCTGGCTGCGTGGGCCGTGTGTGTGGCGGGGCTGGCCGGGCTGCGGGGGATCCAGCAAGGCGAAGCCATCTGGGCTTTTCGCAGGGATGGGGAGGGGGGTTATTAAACAAAGAGCTGGTTTTTCATATTTTTAACACCCGCAAGAGCCATCCATCAGCCAGCGTGGAGCCGCTTGGTGCCGGTGCCAATGCCATCTGCCCATCACAGGGCTGGCTGTCCCCCGGGTCCTCGAGGCAGGGGGCTGGGGAGGGGGTGTTGCACCCCCACCATAAGGAACAGGGTTCCCCCTCTGTGCTGTGGGGGCTGCCCCGCATCCAGGTGTCTCTGCTTGGGGGGAATGATGAGCCCAGCCCTAATTTGGGCTATTTAGGGATGGGAAAGAGCAGCTGAGGGGGGTTGTGATGAGCGTCCTGGAGGGTGCAGCATGGCGGGGAGGCAGGATATGATGGGGTGGGCGCCGAGGACCATTCCCACAGCCCTCGGTGGCTCCCAGCCCGGGATTCGGGTGGGGGGGAGTAGGAGGTTCCCCTCCCCCATCCTTCATCTTCCAGCATTTTGAGGCGCCGCACTCGGAGAGTTACGGCGTGGGGGTGGGGTGGCAGGCAGGAGCACCCCCCCCTCCCCAGCCTGTGGGATTGGAGGGCGCCGCGCTCGGAGAGTCACGGCGGCGGGGGGAGGTGGAGAGGCCCCCCCCCGGCTCCCCGCCTTGTCCCTGAGATTGGCGAGCGCCTCACTTGGAACATTACGGCCGCCCCCCCCGCCCTGTCCTCGGGATTGGCGAGCGCCGCTCTCGGAGCATTACGGCGGGGGGGGCTGAGGGAGAGGCAGGAAGAGCCCCCCCCTCCATCGGCGGGTTTGGTGTGCGCCGCGCTCGGAGAACTACGGCGGGGCGGCGGGGGGGTGAGGGAGAGGCGGGCAGAGCCCCCCCCGGTATCGGCGGGATTGGCGTGCGCCGCGCTCGGAGCATTACGGCCGCCCCGCCGTCCCCGGTATCGGCGGGCGCCGCTCAGGGCGCCGCCGCCGCCGCCGCCGCCGCGCCCGCAGCGGAGCTGTCCGCGGTGCTGACCGACCGCCGCCGGCCATGGGCCCGCCGCCCGCCCTGCTCCTGCCGCTCCTCGCCGCGCTGCTCCGCGCCCCGGCACACGGTAAGCGCCGGCCGACAGCCCCCACCCGCCCCGGTCGCCCCCCGCCATACACACCGACCACCTCCCCGGTACCGATGGCTTCAACCCGCCTC